TCCTCTTCTTCCTCTTCTTCCTCTTCTTCCTCTTCTTCCTCTTCTTCCTCTTCGTCCTCTTCTTCCTCTTCTTCCTCTTCGTCCTCACCAGAACTAGCGCTTTTTCCGACCCCTGCAGGAGCCTCAGTTTGAAGGCCCTCAGTGGCCCTTCGGTCCCTCAGTTTCCCCATAGCTTGGCGCAAATCATCAGGGCAGAACATTTTGCAAAGCGTTGTCATATCTTCATAGACCCTGGACGATGTAAATGCCCGATCAAACTGAAGAGAACCTGGAAATCCCGGTGCGGGTTACTCTATTCACACTTGTTTCTGGCTCGATCCTGGAACGTAACTGGTGTTTCCAAGGTTGTACGGCAGTGAGTATAAGAGGTTGCGAGCATCCCAGTCCTCGACTAGTGCAGAGGCGAAATCAGCTCATATGTCTAAGCCGTCCTCGAAGTCGGCGTGGGAAACACGTACTTGGCTCTGACATCTGGTAAACTTGTAATTCTTGATGTAGGCTTGTTGCTCAATCTGTGCCTCGGGGCACGCCAATTTCCTGTGTCGTACTCATTGTGGCCGTAGAAGGAGCAAACATCGAATATGAACGCCTCGCCCGTCTTCATGTCCATCGCCGTGTTACCGTCCCAGCAGTCACCGTGGATGAGGCTGGGCTTCAGAACTCTCCCCTCTGACTGAAGGGGCAGCAATAGACGGGGGACAACCTTCTCGAGGACAAGCTTGGATACTAGATCAAACTCGGCCCATTGAAGAACAGGCGAGGCCAGGTCGATGATGTGTCCCAAGTGGCGGCTAAACACAACACACCATGAATCGTCCCACATGTCAACGGCTTGGATGATCTTAGCATGACAGGTCGCTACATGGAACCCGAACTTTCCGGTTGGCGAGACGGAGCGCATGTGCATGTCGGCAAGTCTCCTCGCTAGCTTGCTGGGTTCCGCAAGCTGCATAGGGAATACCCATGATCAGTACCAGCTGTCAATCTAGTCGTTGTATGATGGGTAAAGCAGTACGAACCTGGCGCCCGATATGGCGAAACTCGACGGGCAAGAAGTAGCTTCCCTCTTCCCGCCCAATCTCACCCCATGCATATGGCTTGGGGACAAAACCCGGTGAAACTGCGTCAATGGCCTTTAGTGATTCGAACTCTCCATGGCACATCTGCTTCCCAATGGGACCAAGCCTTGGGACAACCTTGACGCCGGTTAGATAATGAGTGCCAGTGTATCAGGCTTCGCTACAACCGCCAAGAACTTAAAGGGTCGACCTCCCTTCAGGAAATAGTCCTGCAATGTTCCATCAGGGAGCTTGACTACCAACTTGGCCGTCTTGCCCCAACTTGAAAGAGATTCACCGAATTTCTGCGCGTCGACGAGCTTAGATCCGGGAATGGGAAGTGCTTTGCCCGAAAACCTATGTCAGCCCGAGGGAAAGAGATGGTGTGCGATCTGGGAGATAGCGGCCCTTGAGCCCACCTTTGACCACATTTTCGTCCACTTCAACACTGCTAAGAACTGTTGGCAAAGGAATAGTGTCCACGGGTGTTCGCTCAGTCTTCGATTGAGTATCTCCGATCTTGATCTTGGAGATGGATCCCACCAACGTGGAGCTGGCGCTAGTTGACATCTTGTCCAGCACAGGAAACAGTGACGCTGATGAGGAGAGTCGAGAGCCATATTGGGTGGTCGTGGGAGGGGTGAAATGTCCTCCTGTTACGAGTGCGGGGGTGCCATGGAGGCTCAAGGGGGGGTCCGCAAAAGTTGCCAGTTAGATTAGCATCAGGCTGTCCTATAGAAACCTAATAATATCCGGTATAGCTTTGGTTGCGACAGTATATTCTTTGTTTGACAGTTTGACTTCGGAGAGTGTTTCGCCGCACTATGTGCCCGGTTTTTGTCTCACCACACGACCCCACCTACAACCACATACACAACCCTGACATTGCTGCTAGTGCTCAAGCACACTTCAATTACCCCCGCGGCGTCAATCTGCCACGGGCACCCTCCTCGCTGGCTAGCGACAACATTCGCTGTCTTTGACTTGGGTAGCTACGTCGCTAAGAGTTTTGCATGTAAAACAAGATAACTGCTTACCATGTGTGGTGGAAGAAGGCATGCCCTAGTCTAGTAAGACTGGGTTAGGTTGTGACCAAGGTTATGTATGCGGAGGTCTGGGGGTCATAGTGTGGTGAGACAAAATACATAGTGCGGCGAGACACTTTTTTATTAATTATCACCGAACTCCAGCCCAGCTTTTCATTCCACTCTTCTCTCTTCACCGCCACAAAAAAATGCCGACTGCCAACTTCCCGCCCGTCCGGGCATGCATTTTTGATATGGACGGCCTGCTCATCAACACCGAAGACATATACAAGCAATGCGCCGACAATGTTCTCGGTCGCCATGGCCGTCCCCCCATTCCGTGGTCCATCAAGGCCCAGCTGATGGGCGTGCCGGGTTCCAGCAATGGCGATGTCTTCCACAACTGGGCACAGTTGCCCATATCTCGCGCCCAGTTTGCCCACGAACAGAGTCTAGAGCAAGAAAAGTTGTTCCCGCTATGCGAGCCCCTCCCAGGTGCGGTGCGGATGCTGGAAACCCTCACCGGGAAACGCGTCAACTTGGATGCGCCCGATGCTCCGCACAAGGTTGGCGAGCCCGTGGTGCAAGTGGCGCTTGCCTCCAGCAGCGAAAGCGTCAGTTACGCGCGTAAAACTGTACGTGCTGGTACGCGGGCGCTCCTGAACTTGATTCCGGTCGAGCGGCGCGTCTTGGCGGATGATGAGAGGATGAAGGGGGCGCATGGAAAGCCCGCGCCGGATATCTTTTTGACGGCGTTGCGTGCTATCAACGAGACGTTGCTAGAGGGCCAGAAGATTTCACCGGCGGAGTGTTTGGTATTTGAGGACAGTGTTCCCGGGGTAGAAGCGGGAAGGCGGGCGGGCATGAGGGTGGTTTGGGTACCGCATAGAGATTTGAAGGCGCATTTTGCTGGGAGGGAGGAGGAAGTTCTGGCGGGCCGGACAGGGATTGTGCCGATTGGAAGGGAGGAGCAGTTGGGCGAGCTTGGCGATGGTTGGGCAGAGGAAATTGGGAGTTTGGACGACTTCGATTACAAAAAGTACGGGATAGTGCTCTGAGTTGAGGTGGATGAGGGGCCTTGGCTCAATCGGCCCAAGTTGAATTTGCTACATAGAGTGTCCAGACCCTGATACGGACTTGAACCTCTGACCATCTCACATCTGGATATGGTCTGACAAGTAATGGTATGGTTGACCGGAGAGCGTTCACCTTTTGTCTAGTTTGTCCCAAAGCATCTACGGATACTGCGGTAACAATGGGACAGTCGTAACAGACAGGAAGAGAAACGCTTGATAGCAGAGTTAGGCTATACCTAATCATCGCTAGTACACTTGCTCCACATACATTCTCCTTGCCTCTGTGGAACGGAAGACCGTGAATGGGTCTTTCTACAATGATCAAATCTCATCACCATCGTCATCCGACTCAAGATCTGGATCCGGCACCTGCAAATCTGGCGGTAACTGGGGCATTCGCTCAACCTGCTGAGGCGGAGGAGGCGGCGGCAGGTGAGACTGCGGAATGATGGTGTAGGGCAGGTTCGCTGGCAGCCCCTGAGCAGCAGCGGCCGCAGCGGCCTTGCGCTCTTCCTCGCGCTTTATTTTTGCCAGCATGTTGCGGACATCGCTCTTCTTGACGTACTGGTACTTGTCGCCAAACGATATGCGAATGCCAATGGTCAACTGGCGCAGGTTTAGCTGGGCCTCGCGGTGCATGATCATGAGCCAGCGCATGCCGTCTTGCTCAATCTTGCGGAACTGCGAGGGCACGTTGACGCCCTGCTCGCCCGTGAAGGGCTCGTGGTTGTGCTCGGCGCACTGAACAATGATGTGCCACTTGTCGTCGTAGGGCCAGGCCTTCTCCTGGATTGCCTTGCAGCGCATCGGACAACCCGTCTTGGTGGACTTGGTCTGGCGCAGGCCACGACTGTGCGACGTGTAGCTCTTGCCACCCTTGGAGCAGCACAGGTTGTAGCGCCGATATTGGCCATTGGCGTCGCGGTTGAGCGACGAGATGATGACCATGGCGTAACCCTGAGCTCGCGTGAAGGCCTTGAGGTCGGCCTGTAAAGCCTCAAAGGTTGGGTACAGACGGTCCTGAGGCGGTGGAAGGAGGGCCATCTGGGAGTTTGGGCCTTCTCCTTGCTGTTGGGATTGTATTTGTTGGGCTTGTTGCTGCTGTTGGGATTGTTGGAGTTGCTGCTGTTGGGATTGTTGGAGTTGCTGCTGTTGGGATTGTTGGAGTTGCTGCTGTGGTTGCTGTGGTTGCTGTGGTTGCTGTGGTTGCTGTGGCTGGTGTTGTCGCTGTTGCCGCGATGGTTGTGGTTGTGGTTGTGATTGCTGTTGTTGTGGTGGTGGCTGCTGTTGTTGTTGCTGCTGCTGCTGGTGCTGCTGCGCTCCCTGTTGATAATGTTGCATGGGCGGGTGCAATTGCTGTCGTTGCTGTTCGAGCTGCTGTTGCATTTGTTGAACTGGCTGCTGGGGCGGCAGGTGAAGCTGCATCTGCTGCTGCATCTGACGCATTTGCATATGGCGCGGCCCAGGCTGCACCATGTTCGCTATGTCCAGCTGCGATGATATCTCAACTCCTGTGTGAGTGGCTGAGGTGCCGGTGACGCCTTGTGATTCCAAGAGGATGGCCGAGTGTGATGAATTGAAGTTGAGCTTCGGCGCGCCAAATCGCGCCCCGCGTACGTGGCACTTTGGCTAGCCGGACTCTCGGGTCGGGTAAACGGCTCAAGCTCGGGTGGCTGCCAGCTGGTAACAGCTGCTTCTCAAACCTTAGCATCTCAACATTCTCAGGAGTCAACTAACCTCCACCTTCTTCAACTCATTATTATTCCTTGAGATATTGGACATTCGAACTTGGGAAGACCTTTCCTTTCAATACCAATGTGTGTTCGCTTGGCTAGATATATTGCTCCCCCAAACGAGAAGAACCGTGCGACAGTTGGCTGAATTTCCTCAGTCCAAGTTCCTCTCAAATCTTTCTCAGCTTCCATCTCGCTAACGTTACTCACGAGATGGAAAACACTCAATATCCTATGATCAGAGTTGACTAGGTAGGTACCGACCTTACTCAGCTGGATATGGTACATATACATGCTATACTAAATCCTGTTCCTAGGCTACATAGCACTAACGCGCTAGTGACTGCAGAGACCTCAATCATCTTGGTCGGTTGGTCCTGGTCAGACTTGCTAGTACCAACGTAAGCAACGCTGTAGAGATGGCCACTACGGCTGTCCGGAGCTGAAGCTGTTCATGGAGCTGCAAATGACTGCAGAGGATAGCATGCACGCCGCTCTTGATTGTGTTATGAGAGTAGGTAGGTATTTATACGTACCAACAGACTCCAGGCGACGTGTGCTGTACTTCGACAGTTGTAACCATACGCTAGTTGGCACCCTGCCCCTGACTATTCATCGTTGGTAGCAACAGAGATGACGTTTAGGGAGGTTCACAACCCCATTATCTCGAGTATCATATGCCGAGTCGCCTTCGAATAAACTTCTGATGATGAGGAGGTGATGTTTGACAGCACCATTGGCCCAAACCAGCTTCAGGTTGGTTTCGATGTGACGACCGAAGCACCCCATTGAATACCCGAGTTATGAATTAAGCCCTGTATTGTCTCCCGATTGTCAGGTTTGTGGCCAATTGTTTGAGACATCCGCGCTTCCATCCTCATATCAGTATAATATCCATGCCTTCCAAAAGTTCCAAGCTTCTATCTTGGCTCCCTTCAAGTTGTCTTGTCTCCCTTGCTCCATTCAAGCTCAGCCAGCGTTGAAGGACTTAACGAAGGCGACGATCCTTTCACTTCGGAATATCAGGTTGGAATGCTAGCAGAGGATGGAGGAGATTGCCGGACTTAGTTCTTCTCGACTTGGCGGTATTCTCGGTTTCCGGCCATCGGGTCGTGCTGAGGAAATAGTTCTTTCGAATATATAGGTGAGTAAACTTGTCGAAAATCTCGAGGCAGGCAACTCTGACTGAACATTTGACTGGACAATTCGGTCATGGGCCATACTTACGATCTATTGCTCACCCAGCAGATCTAGAAGGCCTTCCTGATATTGAGTACTTCCATTCATTAGTTGAAAGCTATTTCTGGAGACGAATAATTTTTGACCGGCAACTGGTAACGTACCTCCTAACATTTCAAGTTGTCTAGGACTACTAGTACTACTCGTAGGAGTAGTCCTGTCTGTTTGAGCCGTGTGCTTGACTGGACCCAACCAGATAAACGTTCCCAACCCTAATTGCGGCAGTTGTTTCTGATATTCCAAGCTTTCCACTTGCTTCAGCCGCGGCCATGTTCATCAAGGAGCAGTAGTGGCACCCGTGCCCAAAGCGAATGTATCTGACTCCAGGCCGCTACATAAGGTGGCGGTGCTCGCGTCTCTCGTTCGGCGACATTGCAAGTTTTGTGGCAATGGCACCTGTAACTTCAGTTCTGGATACCTAGTAAGCACCGTTGCGGTCATTATCGAACAACTGCTGCCAGGATGGCGGTGACACGGCCATGAACCTGAAGCCAGGCCGGGCGAGTGAATTGTCGTTCACTGGGACGTCCTTTCGTAGCCCGGTAATGCCTAGATAAGCATCCTACAGTGGGCAGATCTGTGAGTTAGGTATCATAACTCCGACGATCCTCTCGGCCGATGATGCAACTTACTAGGTGTGATATCCTAGTTCAAGCGTGGAGTTCGGCCAAATCATAGTACCTAGTAGTGACTGGAAGTATCATAGTACTGGTGGTACTACCGTAGTGTCAGGCAAGGCTCGATGACGTTGCGTCGTCGTTGGCGTTGGCGTTTCGGCGTACATCATGATGGCAGAGGCTCGCCCTGTCCGAGCAGTCCGTGTTGAATATGCCGCCCGCTGTCCAAATTCGCTGAAAATAAACTGTTCCGAGAACAACTTGAAGGGCACAGGTGGTATCTCTTAGCAAGCCGCAATTACGGAAGGCAGTCTCGCATTGTATGTGGCCAAGATTGGTCCCTTGGCGACGGGACAGATTCGCCCGCAGCCACGGCAGAGCCACGAGGCACGAAGAGCGAATACTTCACCTGCCGCTTTGGCAGCATCCGTGGCCACTGGCCGATTAGGTTCTTAGTCAACCAAGGGCAACTTGCCCTCGTTTCCCACATCTCCCACAAACCCCACGAAGCGGCGAATCGTACTTGACTGTCCCACGGCCACCCGCGTGCTTCTACTTCATCTCGTGCCCCATACCCTCTCTAACCATTTTTCTCACCTTCAACGCTTCCCAAGAAACTCCATTTCAACAGGCCACGCCACTGGGATCTGCCTGCTCCAGAGCATCACAGTATCGAGCATGACCAGTCCCTCTGCCATCACCAATTTAGTAGCTTGCTTTCCCTTCCTGGAATCGCTTCAGGTTGGAATCAAATCTCCAGCTCTGTCGCTGCTCGCTCACGCCTAGCTGACCCGCGTGGTTGGCCGGGCATCCTGAGCATCTGGGCAGGCGACCGTTTTGGCTGCTGTGCGCCTTGCAGTCACCAAGCCCAAGGCAGCTGGGACACATCTTTTCCTCCCATTCTCCCTCTCTTCCACTTCACCCACTCTCTTTCCACTACAATTTTCTTCCTCCCTGCCCAAAAATTGCTACTTGATTCTCCTCCTCTGTTGTTCTTCCGACCTCTTCCACCCTCTTCCGCCATTAGTTTCTTCCTTCTCCCGCAAGAATTTCGATTTTCCCTCCTCTATTTTAAGTTTGCTCTTCCGCCCTTCCACCCTCTTCCACTGCTTCCTCTTCCACTGCTTCCTT